CCCTTCACTCTGTTAATGGTTTCTCTTGTTGTGCAAAAGCTTTTTAATAAGATGAGATCTCAGTTTTTGATGCTTTGTAGTATTTCCCGTGTGGTCTGGGTTTTGTTCATGAAGTCTTTGTCCACTCCTATGTCCTCAAGCATTCTACCTATTTTCTCTTCCAGCAGATTTAGTGTTTTTCTGTTTTAATATTTAGATATTTGATCCATTTCTATTTTAGGTTAGTGCACGGTGAAAGATATGGGTCTAGTTTCAATCTTTGGCATGTGAAAAGCCAGTTTTTCCAGCACCATTTATTAAAGAGGCTATCCTTCCATTGAAGGTGTTCGGCTCCTTTGTCAAAGATAAGGTAGTTGAGTATGTCTGGAGTTATTTTCACATCCTCTAGTCTGTTCTATTGATCCTCAGGTATGTTCTTTTGCCAGTACCATGCTGCTTTTATCACAGTAGCTTTGTAGTATGATTTCAAATCAAGCTTTGCCTTTGTTGCCCAGAATTGCCTTTGCTATTCTAGTTCTCTTTTGGTTCCAAATGAATTTTACGATTGTTTTTTCTAATTCTGTGAGATATACTCTTGGGATTTTGATTGGGATTGTACTGAATCTGCATAACAATTTTGGAAGTATTGGCTTTCCTTTTTTTTTTTTTGGTACCGGCGATCGAACTTCGAACTTGAGACCTTGTTCTTGCAAGGCAGGCGGTGGAACCACTAAGCTACATCCCTGGCCCTGGCTTACTTTGTGTGTGTGTGTGTGGTACCAGGGATTGAACCCGGGTCCTTGCGCTTGTGAGGCAAGCGGTGGAACCACTGAGCTAAATCCACAGCCCTGGCTTTCCTGTTTTTGAGACAGGGTCTCACTAAATTGCCCAAGCTGAACTTGAACTTTCGATCCTCCTATCTAAACTTCCCAGAGAGCTTTACAGGCATGCACTACCACACTTGACTCTTCACGTTTTAAAAAATTTTTGTTGAATTACAGAATTCTTAGATAAAATCTCACTCATCTACTTCTCACGGTCTTTCTCTACTTGCTCTTTTAACTTCATATGTTTCTTGGAAATCAGTGTGGTTTTTTTTTGTACTGGGACTCAAACTCAGGACCTTGCACTTGCCAGGCAGGTGCAGCACCACTGAGCTAAATCCCTGGCCCTCAAATCTTAATGATAGATAGGAATTTCAAAAGACATCATGAAAAAAAATTTCAGTAGCTAAAAAACTAGTTTGACAGTAACTTTTAATTTGAGATATTTAGTTCTTTTCTTATAGATTATCATATAGAGATGTATATCTTATGATTGAACGTGAGATAAAATCATGGCTTTCTTATTTCAGGATATAAAAACTACATGCTTTTAATTAAAACCAAAATTTCATCAAGTAATACAGTCTTTTATAATACTTTATAATTGGGTCAGGTTTTTTTTTAACCTTCACAATACTTAGGCTCCAGGCTTTTCTAACTGTAGGTGGCAGTAGTACATAAAATATGTTGATTGAGGGCAGAAAAATCTTCAGAATGCCATTCAATTTATGATTTTTATAACCTAACAATGGACTGTTTTGAGAACCAGATAATTGCATGTAAATTAGGGTATCTGGAGATTTGTGGGGGGGATCTCAAAGTTAGAAAACTATGTTTTTACCTCCAATTTTCATTTGGAATTTCAAAATTAGGTTTTAGGAATATAAAGCGTGTCTTTAAAATAATATTCCTCTCAGTCCCGTATTTGGTCAGGGCTGAATTTTGAGACAGTCTTGCTTTGTTGCCTAGGCCGCCCTCGAACTCCTGGGCTCAAGTGACCTTCTGCCTCAGCCTCTCAAGAGTAGACTGTAGGCACCCGCCACCCTGCCTGGCTAGTTTTGGATTTTTCTTAAGGCGCACCATCATTGTTAATACCTCAGGAATCCATTGTGTCTCACATGCACTTTGAATTTGTGCTTCCTGTTCAAATCTGTCACCTGTTCATTTTGTTCATTTGGGAAACATTTCTTCAGGAATTACTATGTCCCATGCCCTGTGCTAAGAAAAAGGATCAGAGTGACCCTAATCACTCTCAGATCAATGAGGAATATCATCTGACAATCTGACATTGAGCAAGAAAAAGAAGAACATAGCAATTCATTTTTAAAGTCAGCCTCAATACAGATAACCAGTTTTTCTATTTGTCCCGTTTCCTACCCTCTTTTTGTCTTTTTGGTTTCCTACAAAGCCCTTTAAATCAAGTAAAACCAAGAATATAGGCTGCTAATAACAGAAAAACAAAGCCTTAGTAATAATACTGTACAAGTCTGTTTCAAGGGTGTGTTGGAATGATTAGAGTGGAATGGTGGAGAATCTTGTTTTAGGAATAGACAGGAGACTATAATCAGATGCTGAAATTTTCCTAAATTGTCCATGCTCAGAGCCAGCATGATAGAGAATGTCTTGAATATACACTTTACATTAGATTTTCTTTTAGATTTTATATAATAGTTTCTACTGTATCAGTAAACAAAGAAACTTTCATCCCATCAATTTAAAAATTGAGTCTTTTGTCTCAGTTCAGTAAATGTGCTTTTTCTATGAGTGTCTATGCTAAACTCTACAAGAGACATAGCTGAGCAAAGCACTTTCTTTATCTTTAAATACTGTGTCTCACATCGAAATGGGGAGGGACACTGCTTGCTCTGCAAGCGCAAGGACCCGAGTTTGATCCCCAGTACCAAAAAAAAGAAATGGGGAGGGAAGTCAGGAAATGAGGAGTAGGAGGTACCAACATACGGAGCAGTACAGATACATTTCTAGCTTCATATTTTCTCATGAGACAAGCTTTTCTGAATACCTTTCTGAATACACTTGGTGTATTGCAGGTATCAGAATTCTCCAGACATCTGTCAGCATTGTCTTTTGTTTTTATTTTTTTTAATTACAGAATTAACTCATAAAAATTGTGTCATAAGCATTCATAGGTGCTAACAGCTCCTTAGCCCCAAATTGGCATAGTGCCAAAGAAACAGAAGCTAACTGAAGTTCTGAAATATTTCAGTAAATGATAAATGTTGACTAGACTTCAATAACTAATTCTGAACTGTTTTTACAGTTCGAATTATTGTTTGACTCCTTGGATTGCAGCTGAACAGCTTAGTATGCTTTTGAATCCTTCCCTTTGGTTCTTTATGGAGCAAGTTAGGGACTAACTTAATGACTGTAGAAGACCTTGGATACAGAAATGGGTTTCATTTGATCAGGGAGATAAAAATTAGCACTTCAACTAGTGTGAGGCAATAAAAATAGAATTATTTCTTTTAAGACTTATATAACAATTATATATAATCTCTTATATGGACTTAAAATCTTACTGCTGTGGGAATTTTCACAAGTACATAGAGAAAACCCTTGTGTACCTAGCAGCCGCTTCATCAGTTACCCAGAATTGGTCTTTTTCCATGAATACCCCTTTTCACAGGGCATATCCTTATTTTTAAATTTTTATTACAAAAATACTTTTAATGTTGTCACTAGGCTGACAAGAGTTTTTTGTATTATTATAAACGTCTTTGGAAAAAACATGTCCTTTTCACCAATGGAAAATAAAAGACTTGGAAAGCAGTTTGGTAACATAAAGAAAAGAGCCTTTTAATCAATTAAAATAGCCTTGCTTAGGGCCAGGGATTTAGCTCAGTGGTTTCGCCGCCTGCTATGCAGACACAAGGACCTGAGTTCGATCCCCGGCACCAAAAATAAAATAAAATAGCCTTGTTTTATTAATTTGTGAATTCTGTTCAGAAATAGAAATTAAGGTCAAGATCATTGTATCTAATGCTTATTACAGCATTATTTGTAATTGAATAATTATAATTAAGTAATTGAAAATCTCTGTATACCTACTAATAAATTCACATGGTAGGATGTTTTTATTTTTTAACATGAGGAAGTATGGAAAGGGTGATAAAATTGCATCTAAACAAGGCATGGTGACACATGACTGTAAAACCAGTACTCGGGAGGCTGAAGGCAGAAGGATTACTTCAAGTTAAATACCAGCCTAGGCTACACAGTGAGTTCAAGGTCAACCTGGACTATTATAGTGAAACATCTTGAACAAACAAAAGATTTTTTTTTTTGGTATATCCTTTTATTGGCACATTTTAGGTGTACAACATAATGACATTCATCATTGGGAACAAACAAAAGATTGCATCTAATAATTCCACATTATATTGTGTGTAGACTTTGAAGATCTGATTTGCTATTATCCTGATTCTAAATTCTACTGTATCATTTCCTTAATTTTTATTTTTCCTGTGTTATGGATATTGAACTCAGAGCCTCATAAATGGTATGAAAGCCCTGTAGTGAATTGTATCGCCAATTCTATCTGTCTACCTGTCTATCATCTATTTTTGAGAAAATGTCTCCCTCAGTTGCCCTCAAACTCCAGATCCTGCTGCCTCAGCCATCCAAGTAGCTGGGATTATAGGCATGTACCACCACACCTAGCTTGTTTCCTTAATTTCAAAGAAAGCTTTTCAGTTTTCTGATTTAAGACATTGTTAGTTACCCACTTAACTGCTCTTCAGTTGCGTCCAAATTGTTATTCACTTGTTGGTACCTGCATTGTAACCTCATGCCAATATTCAGGACACTTGTGATCCTAGTATATTAGAGCCCTGCATGGTGGGCTTGATTGTAATCCTAGTACTCAAGAGGCCGAGGCAGGAGAATCAAAAGTTTTGATATGTCTTGTTAATTTATTGTGTCTACATGGTGTCTGATGTTCAGACTTAAGGCCAGCCTGTGGGCTACATAGTGAAACTGTGGCTCAAGCTCCCCACCAAAAAATCCTAGAATATAAGTAAATCAAAGGTACTACTTATATTTTTTTACTTTATGTTATATTTTAGATGATTGACAGTAAATACTTTTAGACAGTAAAGTTACCTCATATGTTGGTTAGCAATCAACATTATCTAATAAATGCTTATTAATTCTAACTAAATCTTGTTTCTCACTTTACAGATTATAAGCACACCACAGAGACTCGCCAGTTCAGGAAGTGTTCTGATCGGGAGCCCATACACTCCTGCACCAGCAATGGTCACTCAGACACACATAGCAGAAGCAACTAGCTGGGTTCCTGGGTAAGAGTATCACAAACTACTGATTCTAAAACCTTAAAAAAAATTCTGACCTTTTTCCTTACTATCTTGTTTCTCCTTATTATGTCAGCCCATTTCTTAAAAACTAATGTTTTTCCTTTAAAATCTCCTATTTTGGGCTGGGGATTTAGCTCAGTGGTTTTGCCGCCTGCTGCCCAAGTGCAAGGACCCAACTTTGATCCCCGGTACCAAAAAAAATAAAATAAAATAAAAAAATTAAATCTCCTATTTTACTTTATGTCTCAGATATAAATTATCTCTTATATAACACCTGCCCACTGAGGTACTAGAACTTGAACCCAGGGCATTCACACTGAGCAGTATCTCCAGCCCTTTGACACAAGGTCTTACTAACTTATCCAGGCTGGGCTAGAACTTGAACTCGTTATGCCTCAGCCTCCCAGAGTGCTGGAATTACAGACATTTGCAACCATGCCCGGCTATACCCATTTTTAAACAAAAAAATAGTACAGTAAATTGTAACGGAGTCTTTTGACTTTTAAACTCTGAATAGGAGTATTTCTTAGGATTATAACTTTTAGCTGCTCTGGAGATAGAAAAGCTATATTTTATATTGTTTTAACACATAAGAAATGAGTTGTAAAATGTTGTTTATTCTGAAAATATCCCCTATCCACTCTCATTTCCTTAAGAGAAAAGGAACTAGAAAAAAGAGGCCAAATATATTAAAATTTTCAATTTTTTCCTTCATTCCTTATAACACTTGGCAATGACATCACTATCCTTTCCATGTTACTCATTTGCTACTTTTAGTATCATACCATTCATGTTTCGTCTTTGCTTGTAAAATACCCTTTTTTCACTCCTTATCATTTTAGCACTCCATCCTTCTATTAAAAAATGTTAAGATAAATAACTCAAGTCCTTGTTTGTTACTTTAGAAGTTATTTACATGGTGATACACTGCACAGGGGATCCTGTCATGTGTGTGTGTGTATGTGTGTTACAAAATGCTAAATTTTGGTTAAGAATCTCCTTGCTTCAAGAACAAGTGAATTAGGGGCTGGGGAGTTGGCTCAGTGGTTCCGCCACCTGCCTTGCAAGTGCAATGTCCCGAATTCGATCCCCAGTATCAAAAAAAAAAAAAGAAAAAAGAAGTGAATTAGCCAGGCATGGTGGCACATACCTGTAATCCCAGCACTCAGGAGGCTGAGGCAGGGCTACATAGTGAGTTCAGGACCAACCTGAACTACAAAGCAAGACCCTGTCTCAAAAAACCAAAAAAAAAGAAGAAGTGAATTAATGAAATAACAAACCAAGGGCTTTAATTCACATGCATATTAATGTACATGCATGCATGTACAGATACAGATACATTAGAGACAGAAGAGCTCTGAAAAGCCTCATTTGTAAAACTAATGTTTTCTTCCCTAAATAATTCATTGAGCTCACTCCAATTTAATGATTATTGTGTTGTCATGTCTTGTCCCATGACAAAATGAAGTCTTTATATTATGTACCTATCTTTTATATTTGTTTTTGTCTTTTGATATATTCAGTATAGAATTGGACAAGTTATAATAAATTATGAAATACAGTTGTGTTTATGTATTGTGTTTATGCTATCTTTTTGTCTTTTTAGTGATAGAAAACGGGCTAGAGAATTTATAGAATCTGATTTTTCAGAAAGGTGAGTATGAGTCCAAAAATTTTGCTTAGGATTCCACAATGTAGAGAGTAGTTTAAGTAATTCCACTTTAAGTAATGAGATGTTTGTCTTCACATAACTTTAACTTCATTTGGTTTCTACTGTGATTCCATTCTTCACTGAGTATTTCAGTTCACTCATAATATTTGTATGATTTGATAGAAATTACCTGTGATACTTCCATGTCACATAGTCCCCTTCCTCCTCTTGGGAACTAAAGCCTTCTACCTAACTGAATAATTCATTTTATGCTCAAACTTTCAACAAATTTTACTAAAAATATCTATGGATCATGGTAAACTCTTATTTCTTAAATAATACTACATTGAGTATGATAACACCTTTCCTTAAAAGATGAAGTATGATCAAAAAATACAGTGAATGCTTAAAATTTTTTTAAATTATTACAATAAAAAACTCACTGCCATTAACCTCCCTCAAAATATTGCCCCTTGCTTTGAACACACTGTGTCCCACCTTCTTGCTACTTTCTGAACTAATTCTGGAAGTCCTTTCTCTTGAGCATCTTAGTTGCGCTCTTGTGGCTGCCTCAGTGTCCTGAAGCCATTCACAACATTGACCTTTCATGGTCATTTTGACTTTGGGGAAGAGCCGAAAGTCAGTGTCAGGTCTGGTGGGAGTCACTCAAATGGACGTTCAGAACTGCTTCAGAAACTGGCAGGCGGGGGAAGGGTTTTGAGGGGGATTAATAGCAATGTGTCTTTTACTTTAATAAATGTTTTAAAATTTAACCATAGGGGGAAGGGGAGAGAAGGATAAATAAAGATGTTATATGCATGTATTAACTCCCTGCAATCAATCTAGTCATTATATACTGCAAGCATGACTACTAAAAAAATTAAAAATGAAAGAACAAAATTTAAACATTTGCTGTATATTTCGATCATACCTTATATTAGCACAGTGGTTCTCTGTTCTGCTTGTACATCAGAGTCACTCATGATCTGTTCAGTAAAAGTTCCTACCCAAGTCATTTAACTCCAGGTTTAAGAATTAGCAGTTTAGCTGGGGCTCTTCCCTAAAGAATTAAAAGAATCATACCACAGTGATATATGTCCATGTTCATAGCAGCACAGTTTGTGATAGCTAAAACTTGGAAACAGCCCAAATGCCCATCAACTGGAGACTGGATAAAGAAAATGTGGTTTTTTTATAAAATGGAGTACTACTCAGCCATAAAAAATGAGAAATTAGAGACATTTATAGCTAAGTAGATGCACATTGAGGCAATACTCTTAAGTGAAATAAATAGGACACACATGTATAAATATCGAATAGTTTCTCTGGTGTGAGAAACTAAAAGTGTAAATAAGGACTAAAATGTATAATAGGTAATATGAAATAGGAAGAAAAGGGGCAAAGTGGAAGGAAGTGGGAGGGCTAGGGGAAAGGATAGAAAGGAATGGGATGAATATGAGAAAATGGAAAAATAGGAACAAAATCTTTGTAAGTAGGGAGCACTGGAGGGGTTGAAGGGAGGGCTGGGCAAGGGTGAAAAATAAGAACCAAGAGAGACTATGTAAAGGTCCAAATTTCCAATGATGAATGTCATTATATTGTATACCTAAAATGTACCAATGATTAGAATGAATAATCGATAATGCAAAATAGGAAGAAAAGGTCCAAAGGGGTAGGGGTAGTGGGAGGGGCAGGGGAAAGGAAAGAAGGGAAAGAAAAAATGCTGAGAAATGGAAAAAATGGAAATAAAGTCTTTGTAAATAGGGAAGGGTGGAGGGCCTGAAGGGAGGGCTAGGAATGGGGAAAAAATAAGAACCAAGATGCATTATGTAAAGGTACAATTCCCAATGAGAAATGTAATTGTGTTGTATACCTAAAATGTACTAATAAAAGAATTTAACCAAAAAAAAAGAATTAGTTTAGGGGCTGGGTGTGTGGCTCTGCTGTTGTAGAGCATTTACTTGGTATCCCCAAGGCCCAGAGTCTAGTACTGAAGACCTTGGGACTATAAATGGAGAATGTGTGCTTTCTAGCATGGACACCAGCACTGCTTTTGTTCTTGGTGACATTTGTTGCTTGCTTCCTGGTTCTTGACTGTTTTGTGTTTCATTTTGTTTTTGCAGTACTGAGGATTGAACCCAGGGAACACCAAACTACATCCCTAGCCTTTTTTATTTTACTTTGAGGCAAGATCTTGCTAAGTTTCCCAAGCAGACTTTGAACTTGCAATCCTTCTGCCTCAGCCTCCCAAGTAGCAAGGATAATAGGTGTGCACTGGAGGTTCTTAACTATTTTGAAAAGAAAATCACATCTCAAGGACTGCTGTATTATATAGAAATATATGGTGAAATGTTCTTTTCTCTCTGGTGGAAAGGCCTATTTGCAAGTCACATTGGTCTTTCTTAGTGTTATCCTTGGAAAAGGCAGCAGTACACATTCATACAGTCTCGTGGAGATGTATTTAACAATGTTTAAGTTAAAAATGAAACATTTTGGCTCGGGGCATGGTGGTACACACCTATAATCCTAGTACTTGGGAGTCTGAGGCAGCATGGTTGCTGTGAATTTGAGGCCAGCCTGAACTAGTAGTGAGTTAAAGGCCAACCTGAACTACATAGTGAGACCTTGTCTCAGAAAAAAAGCAGGTGGCAGGGGAGAGAGAGGAGAAACAGTGATTTCTCAACGGTTCAGGGAGCCACACGTTCCACCCTACAAAACCCAGTACTTCTTGTCATATAAAATATTTTATGTTTTATTTATTTCCCATAAACTAAATGATAAATAAAAATATAACTTACATATAATTAAATGTTTTTAAACTCTGAGATCCTAACTGTACAGAAAGGAAAATGGGCTTGAAGTACAGTTCAGTGGTAGGGCATTTGCCTAGCACATTTAAGGCCTGAGGCCCTATACTCAGTCCCTAGCATTGCAAAAAGAGAGAAAATGTTCTGAAGTTAAAAAGTGTGAGGGGCAAGGGCGAACAAAAGGAGAGTACCTAAGCAGTAAAACCCAAGTATAGTTCATGCACTAGTGCCGGCCCAGAAGTGTTAGCAGTCCAGGGAAAGGCAAGTGCAGTAATGGAGGTTCTTACACCTTCATAGCAGTTTGATGTTGGTCTAAGCATATCATTCACAGACACAACAGTGTCAGTGCTCTTAAACTCACATGGGAACACCATCTATGACACACAGTGGTCATGCATGAGAAGACCAAGTTAAAGTTTGTGACTTTTTAAACAGCTCTCTGGAGATATAATTCATACACTACACCATTGACCCTTTGACAGTGTACAATCCAATAGGGGCTTTTGGTATTTTCTTGGAATTGTGCGACCATTACCACAGTCAGTTTTAGAGCATTTCACCATCCTCAAAAAGAAACTGCACTATCATTTGCCAGTCCTTTGTCTGTCCCAGTTTTGGGCAACCACTAATTGACTTTCTGTCTCTATAGATTTGCCTATCCCGGAAATTTCAAAAAAGGGAAACATACAGCATGTGGTCCTTCATGACCGGCTTTGTTCATTAAGCATATTCTCACGGTTCACCCACCTATGTTGTAGAATGTGTTGGTACTTCATTCTCTTTTACTCCTGAATCATTCCGTTATGTGGATATACCAATTTTACTTGTTCATTAATTGATGGACATTTTGGGTTGTTTCTACTTTTTGCCTTTATGAATGATACTACTATAAACATTTGTTGACCAGATTTTGTATGAATTTAAGTGTAGAATCAACTGGGCCGTATGATTACTTTTCCTTTAGTATTTTGAGTAATTACCAGTCTCTTCCACAGTTACTGTCCCATTTTACATTCCTACCAGCAGTGTATGATGATCCCTGTTGCTCCCCATCCTTGCTGATTTGTGCTGGCTAGGCAAGCCCTGTACCCCTGAGGCACACTCTCAGCTCTCACCTTTTTGTCTTTTTAATTGTAATTGTCCTAGTGGACTTGAAATGGTATTTCGTTGTGGTTTTGATTTACATTTCCCTAGTGACTTAATATGGTTAGCATTGTCCAGGTGGTGGCACATTCCTATACATCCTGGCACTCTGGGAGGCTTAGGCACATTTACCCTCTTTAATACCAGCTGAATACATGAGACACACAACAAGCACCAAAGGGGATGGAACAAGCAGGGTGTGGTGGTGCACACCTGTGATCCTAGCTGTTTGAGAGGCTGATGCAGGAGGATTACAAGTTCAAGGTCAGTGTAAGCAATTTAGCAACACCCTGTGTCAAAATTTTTCTAAAAGGGATGTGGGTGTACCTCAGTGATAGAGCATTTATTTGCCTAGCTTGCACGCTTGGGAACAGTCCCCAGTACTAGGGGGAAGAAAAGGCTGTAATTCAGGAAAATGCTGATGAAGTAAAAGAAAATGAGACTCTCAAGCTAGAATGTCAAGTACCAGATCATTGCAGTAGAGCTACTTGACCTTAAAGGGAAAGAATCCTTTGGGCCTGTAGAAGAAAAGAGCATCAGCCTTCTGGTATAGAAAATAAATACATTTAAGAAACCAAAGTGAGCCAAGCCTTTATAGCCAGCAAAACGGATTTATCTCAAATATATTTTTTTGGTTGATCCATTTTAAATATATATAATGATAACATTCATCATAGGGAATTTGTATCTGTACATGATATATCTTGCTTATTTTTTCCCATTCCCCTCCCCTCCCTTCAGCCCTCTTCCCTTCCTTATTTACAAAGAGCTTTCTTTTTATTTTTTTTTCTTCTATTCCTTTTTTCCTTTGCTCCTTTCCCCCTTCCCATTTGAACATTTTCTTCCCATTTCCCAATATCTATTACACACTTTGGTCCTTATTTACACTTTCAGTTTTTCACACCAGAGAAATAGTGCTGTATTTAAACATGTGTCCAATTTATCTTACTTGAGAGTATGGTCTCAAGGTGCATCCATTTAGCCTGAAATGTCTTGAGCTTATCCTTCTTTATGGCAGAGTAGTAGTACCATTGTATAAAAAACCACATCTTT